ATATTAAAGAATAACATCAGAAAATAAATTTTCAAAAAAGAAAAAATAAGAAAATATCAGAATAAACAATATATTCTAATTAGTATAATATATTTAAAAATGATATAATGAAATGTCATGAAAAATAAATAATGAATAAATAAAAATGATAAATAAAAATAATTATCAAAAAGAGAAATAACATAAAAACAACATATTATTAATAATAAACATGAAATTAAAAAATGTCATTATAAATTAAATTGTAATTTAAAGATTCATTCACTTCTCTTGAATGAAAATAATAATAAATAAAATAATCAATAAAGAAACTATTTGTTTTATAAAAAGAATGAATTACTTCAAATTAAAATAAAGAAAATATAATATATATAAACATGAAATATTTAATGAAATAATAATGATACTAATAAATAGCGGTATATAGAAATAACTCATAAAAAATATCCTTAAAAGAATGAATTAATCTCATTAAACAATAGATACAAAAATCATAATTAATCAATTTAATGTAATTATTTTTATTCTTCATTATTTTAAATTGATTTAATTTATTTTCTATCTCTTTCTTTTCTTTATTATTCTGATATTTTCTATAATAGATACTTTTATATTTATTTCTTTATCTTCCAACAATGTACTTATTTCTCAATTCTAATTACTTGTTGTTATTCTGTCAAAATCACAAAAAGAAGAAGAAAAATCGAATGATAATCTTAAAATTAATTTAAAATAAAAGAGTTGAAATACAATAATAAATAACAAAGAAAGAGTGAAAAAAAAAACAATAATAATAAAGTATTTTGATGGTAGTATTAAAAATATTTCAATGAAATATTGAATAATTTCATTTTAATCTATTTCATTTATTTCATTATTCAATAATATTATTTCATAGTAATGAATTATTTCATACTTATAATGAATGTGAAGAAATATTTGAATATGATTGAAGAATAAATAAAGAAATAATAATGGATGAAATAAATCATTCAATACATTTAAAAGAGAAAGAATAATTGAAAAATATTCAAATCATAGAATATACAAAATATGATAAAATATTGAAATACACTATCAATTGAAGTTAAATCAATTAAAATTGAATATCTAGAAGGTATTTATCATTCAAATCAATTAATATTCAATTAACAATTATTGCAATAATAACTAGTTGTTTCTTCAAATATGTTTCATTAACAATCATCATTCATCACTAATTACATTATTAGATATGGATGTTTGTATAAATGTTGATGTAAAAAAGAATAAAAGAATATCATAAACATATTTTATGATTAAAATAAACAGAGTTAATGATAATTTAATTACTCATTTATTTTGAGTGTTTGATAATCATTCATTCTCATTCCTTCATTTCATCATTGTCATTTTTGCTGTTAATTATGATATTATTTGTTGATATGAAACCACGTTGATCCACGTATACATGAATACATGAATAAGAAAGTGTGAATAACAGCCAACACATCAATAAGCCAACACATCAACCATACTGAGTATTTAAAGGAACTTGAAGAAATAATTAGCATTTAGAAATAAGGTATGGATCCAAACAAATGGACAGATGCAACAGTTCAAATGTTCAAAGAATCACAAGAAAAAGCATTTGAAAGAAAGAATGCATATATCATGCCAATTCACATGATGAATGCAATTGTTGAAGAAGAGTCGAATATTATTATCCGAATAGTCGAGATGATGGGAGGTGATGTTAGTAAAATGAAGAAAGAAATACAAGAAGGAATGAATAAGATTCCAGTTCAAAATCCACCACCAGTAGAAATTGGACTTCATCCAACAACACAACAAGTGATAAGACGAGCAATAGAGAAACAAAAGACAATGGGAGATACATATCTTGCAGTTGATGTGATAGTAATGTCATTGATGGAAGAGAAAGAAATTAGTACGATAGTAGGAAATAGTGGAATTAATGTTCTGGAATTTAACAAAAAGATAATGGAAATGAGAAAAGGACAAAGTGTAGAAACAAA